TGGAAATAAAACCGTTGAATTTTTATAAGCTACAATTGAATTCTCCTTCGTAAGGTTAAGAAACTTAAACAAAGGAGTGAGTCAAGTCTTTCTTTAGTTGTCTTCATTTATTTGAACAATGTTTAGATTTATGTAAGGCTTTTTTTCAGAATAAAAATAAGAGGTGGAAATATACATGTCTCTCAGCTCACAATATGATCCCATTAGAAAGGATAATAAAAATATGAAAGTCAAAGTGTTAGAGATATATAAAATTATTAATGTAATTTCACTTATCAACTTAAAATTTTTGGTTGAAATAATTCTTTACAATATATTCAATCCTCGTCACCCTTCATTTAATTAATAAACAATTAAATCTTGAAGAGTTTCATAACACGGGTGGATGTGCCTGTATATTATTCATCATTCAGGTCCATGAGTACTCGTGTGAGGAAGTGTGTTAGAGATATATAAAATTATTAATGTAACATCACTTATTAATTTAAGTTTTTGGGTTGAATTGATTCTTTATTCGAAAGAAAGTTTTATTTTAAATCCTAGATACAAATATTGCAATAATTCATTCATTATTAAAAACTAGAGAAAGTATATTTTTGTCATTTTTTCTTATTATTATATTTTAAATTTATTAATTAGCAACATTCGTTCTACTATTATATTTACTGTCTTTTTTCTTTTTCTATTTTTTTACCTGTGTCCTTTCTCTTGGTTTGTTATATACTTACCATCCTCTCTTTCTCTTAAAACTATTGTTACTTTTGGACAAAACTAACCCCTATCATTTACAGAGGGGATCTATTTTCCTTTATCTCTTTTAACATAAAATTATTATTTCAAAAATAAATAAGTAATAGCAATCAAGATAGATAACAAAAATGTGTAGAAAAGCCTGAACAAGGAAAAAGACAAGGAATAAGTAACCACTAAGTGCAGTAGACAAATTGTAAATTATTTAAATAGTTTGGAAACACTTTCAAGTTAGCATGCAGCCATGTATAGACAGAGAAAAATATAGCCGTAAGTGTACCAATATATATATATATATATATGAGGCAGGATCCTTTGACACCGGTGTCAAAGAAAAAGTTTGACACCTCATCTGAGAACCATTAGATTAAAAAAAATCAATGGTGTCACATGTTTACAAATCAGAATCGTTGATTTTTTTTTAATCTAACGGTTCTCATATGAGGTGTCAAACTTTTTCTTTGACACCGGTGTCAAAGGATCCTGCCTATATATATATATATATATATATATATATATATATATATATATATATATATGGATAAATATTTCTACAGTCATTTTAGATAAGATTATCTACAGCTACCCCAAAAACTACGTCGTTTTGATTAATTAAGGGTGTTTTAGTAAAATGCATATGATAAAAAAATGAACAAAATTACGAAAACACATTTCATTAATTCACATAAAATTACAGAAACATCCTTCATTAATCAAAACGACATAGTTTTTGGGGTAGCTATAGATAACTTTATCTAAAGTGGCTGTAAAAATATTTTTTCCATATATGTATAATCCCTATGATAGTGTATGTAGACACAGAAAAAGAGATAGCCATGTGTGTGCGGGTGAGATGTGCTTTCATTTAGGATATGTAAGTTACTAAATTCAGAGAGGTTAACCATCTTGTTTATTTCATAATTCATCCATTTGAAAGATATTTTGCCATTAATGAAAGGAAAATACAAGTCTCTTAGTCTCATGTCATGGAGACAAAGCATGTGGATCTCCCACTGTATATATAAAATAAAAAAAATTAATCAAATAACTTTTTTGAGTAGGCTAGAGGGGGGAATGTTTATCGGCACAAAAAATTTGTTACGACTTCGGCAAGCGTACCAGTCGCACAAGTAATAAAGTGTCTGAGTACAAGATCGTTCCTACAAGAATTAGAATCTAAATCACTAATTCGTTATTTATGCTTAAGTTGGACAATCAATCAAGAGAGTTGAATAAAATTTGATCACAAATATTGTACAAAAATCAGACTAAATAACAAAGCAAGAAGGTAAAATTTGAATTACTTGTCAATTAAGAAAAAATTCGACTTCCTCCAATTTTTCTTTTATGTTATGAATTAAAACCTTAATTAATCGTCCTTTTCTATATTGCCCATCAATTTTTTTAAATTATTTAAAACTCAATCGCTTAGCATTCTAACTCTTTATTCCCTTAAGAGAGTTCTAAATCCTTGACTTAAATAGACCTAACAAAAAAAAAATTATTTTTAATTTTGTCCGGGGATTTTTTGTTCTGTTTCCTGTGACAAAATAGGGCTCTTGTTTGTTTTGTATGTTGGGTTTGGTCCGTCTGATGCATCCTTTTTATTGGATTTATTTTAGGCCGAACAACGAGGCCCAATTTGGAAACCTTACATAAAATACAAATAACATATGAGTCCAAGACAAACTTTTTTTAATATTTATTCCTAAATCATTTTAGTATAATGATGTTTCAATCCTTTTGTTTTAACAAAAACTATAGCAACTAGGATACCAAAAAAAAAAAAAACAATTTAGTTTAAAAACATACTAGACAATTTTCCACCGGACCCACAAAATAATCAAATTAATTAATTGGCACCACTGGCGGGTTCGTTTAATTTTTTAAATAATGTATAATACTATAATTTCATTTTAACATTACTCCCAGGTGATTTTGATTTATAATATTATAGGATTCGCTTTTTCTGCAGTAAGCCCAATACGACGTCGTTTTGGGACGGAAATCATGATATTTTTGTAATTTTAATTTATTTTAGGGTTATAATAGTCTTTATATTTATAATTTTTTAAGATTTCAATAACAAAACGATGTCGTTTTGAGAATAAATGCAGATAACTTATCTGCATTAACTGCAGAAACATTTTCCCTAATATTATAATCAGAATAATATTTCTGCAATTACTGAAGATAAGTTATCTGTATTTACTCCCAAAATGACGTCGTTTTGGAATTGAAAAATTAAATAATTATAATTATAAAGACTATAATAATCCTGAAATAAATTAAAATTACAAAAATACCATGATTTTCGCCTCAAATTGATAGCAGATAACTTATTCAGTAACTGCAGAAAAAACGAACTCTATTATAATTTTTAAATGCTTAATACTATAATTTCAGGTTGCAATTACTCAAAATAATTTCATGTATAAAACTATTAATATTTAAATTACATCAAGTTCATAATTTTCATGTTCAACTGCATAAGTAACAGAACATTCTGTTAAAGTTGCTTTTGCAAGAAAAAAAGTTCGGTTACATGTATATCAATCAATAAAAGTATCTTCATATCTTTATAAAAATATATTTTCATTGATAATTACACATCTAAAAGAATTTTCTTAAACATACTCAAACATCATATTTATCAAAAATCACTTTTTCATAAATATTTTCAGACACAAATCTGTACTTACAAACTTATTTTTCCACAAAATCAAATTTTAAAAATTAAATTCAAACAATATTAAGTTTACAAAATCTATTTTAAACACGCAAAAAGTCCTTCCCCTTTAGATAGATCTATTGTAATCTGGTGCAATAAGGTGAAGTTAGAGCCATAGAGATTTTTTTTTTTGATAGACAGAGCCATAGAGATTTACCTGTTAAGAAGGTGCTAAGATTAGAATATATATATATATATATATATATATATATATGGGTCAGGATCATTTTACACCAGTGTAAGTTACACTCTCAATCTTATCCATTGATCCCACTTATATCTAAGGGTTCTAATTTTTTAGTAATGTGAGCCATTGGATACAAGTAGATCAATGGTCAAGATTGAGTGTAAGACTTCTAACTCTTACACACATATATATATATATATATATATATATATATATATATATATATATATATATAATTGTTAATAAAAATATCAGGAGTTAAAATTGCAATAAAATAGTTGCTAAAATTTCTTCTAATGAATTGTATAATTTCTCATCTTAGGGCATGTTTGGCAGAGTTTTTTCAACTTAAATGCAGTTTTTAAGCTAAAATTAAAAATAAAAACTCAGAAATTAAGAGTTATTTGATATTTGTTTTAGCTTAAACTTTTTTTTTTTAATTTGGGTTCGAAGCCAAACTCTCAATGGAATACCCGCAAACACAATTTCATGTATGCACACAAACGAGACAATCAATCACAGATAGTAAATCATCACTAAACGGGGTAATCTTTATTCAAACTTTAAAACCAGATTTATATTTGATAAGATCACACAATTGAATCCCAGTTGCTGCTGAATCACGACTCAAAGATTCAAATGGCGGGAATTTCTTCAACCCCAACATGCATGCTCTCTCTTATACGAGATCGCCTGCATGATGTATTTCAGTGTTTAGAATTCAATCCCAAATGAGCACAAGAAGGTCACGTGGGGCAACGGACAGTGAAAGACGCCATTTCGAACTAACCAATCAAAAATTGATTTCTTCTGATTTTGAGATGGAGAAGTGGGTCGGTGAGAATATAAGGATATTTGGAGGGAATGAGATCGAAGAGGGTATACGGAATGATGTGAGGACACATCAACTTATAATGGGGACTTCGAACAAAGAACACTTAAATTTTTTGCCCTTTCATTGGTAGAACTCTGATGAGAATTCCAACAACTATCCGGCGAAATAATTAAAACAGAAGTTCAAGAGAAAAAGATGGGAGCATGGAACCGATGCTTAAGAGTAAAATTCTCTTACTATCATATCCATGTTTTAATTAAAAAATTCTGTTTATTAGACATAAATAAGATATTACTTGTTTTATCTTGTTTGCTTTTTTTTTTTTAAAGTATTACATTAAAAGTGCAAACATTTGAATAGGTGACTACAAAAAAAAAAAAAAAAAAAAAAAAAAAAAAAAAAAAACAACCTTCACCAGCACAGTATTATAACATGATACTAACGCATAGCAAGAATCAGCCAAACATATTTACCAAAAAACGAAAAAAAGATCCAGCCAAACATAAACAAGAGCTTCAGATACTTGTTATGCTGAGCGCAATCATGTTTGTAGACGGAAACTTTGCTATTAATGGCTACACAATGACATTCAGCGCTGGTAAAAACTCAAATCTGGATGGTTTCAACGGGGCAAACTAAACCATGCCAGAAAAACTCGCTAAATCAAAAAACACACATGCTAGGTTTTGAAAGTAACTTATCCTTATGCTGTACCCAACTTTTCTTTTTCTTTAGTTGAAATGCATAACATCCCGATGCTACGAACTATGATATCAACAGTCTACCCCACACTCATTGCAATTTGCAACAGCATCCAAACAGTGTGTACACACAGCAGACACCCCCTGTTATCTCTACGCACATACCCAACTCCAACTCACCAACAAATGAAGAGACCCTTTGGTGTCCTGCACTGCAAGAGAATGAATCCGATCAATATGGTATATTTCAAAATGCAACAGTACCTGCAAAGAAAGTGAACAGGAGATATAGTAGAGAGGAATGTAAAGCTAGACATGTTTAAGCATAGCATTGACGCACCTCATACTCTCCTACTATATACTTATGTCCTAACCACACTAATTATCAGTACCAATGCCCATATCCACCATATGCAGTCCCTGTCCACAGTCAAATATCACCTGCATAAATATCTCAGCGGAACTTAAGCAAAAAATGAAACAAAGGAAAGCAATATAAATTGAAAAGACCCGGCCTGGAGAAGAAACCAAAGTAAAAGAAGCAAAACAGATTGTAAATCACTACCTAACAGCGCTCAGAAACTTGTCCATTGTTTCCCATTACACTGGAACCACTAGGTAAAATATCTTCTTGTCTAGTTTTAGAATTTGATTGATCAACTGTTTCTCCATGAAGATTACATTGTCCCACTCCCAATGCAGGATTCTGAAAATGATCTCTTGGTTCTTGATTGGGGATGGTGAGAGCATCAACTTTCTCAGAAATCACTTCTGATACATGAATAACCTTATCAACCATTACTACATGTGTTTCTTCAGGGTTCCCTTGTGTTAGATTTGATGACATTAATGCCTGCTGGACCTCTGACACATCTGATTGGGTTGAAATCAGACTGAAAACAAAATCAATAAATAACTTCCTGAATCTACACTTTAACTACACTACTTACAAATATTGCTAAGTAAACTATATGTTCAAAATAAATTGATTCAAAGGACCAAAATTGTACCAGCCCTTGTCTAAAGGATTTTCGGTTGTTTGTTCTTCTGCTCTCTGTTTCTTATTCTGCCCCATGTCTACAAGTGGATCTATAACTTTATTAGACAAGTTCCCCCTGCCTCTTTTCTGTCTGCCCACATGACGTTCATCTGAAAACAAGATGGCAGTTTTTCCATTAAGATCTTTAGTCGCAGATTCAAACTCACTTGTTCTGCTGGCTTCTTCATCTCGAGAGGGTACTTCAACTATTACTTTTGGTTCTCCAAAAGAAAATCCCATTTCCTGTCCCTTCTCAAAATTACCATGCAGTTTGTCATTTTCCAAGTGCTTCTGCCCGTTGCTAACATTACCTACAACAGAAACCAGAGGCAAATCCTCCACGAGTGGCTTCTCAGGAGAATTTCTAAAAATTAGTTCTCTGCATCGTTTTATCCATGAGAATCGAACAGGGCTAGGAGGGGAAACAACAGATGACTTCTGTATAAATGGAGTATCAAAATCATTGCTAATATTATCAAGGTGACCTTGTGTAAGATTTCGATGCTTCAAGTTTTTCCTTGCAGAGATTTTCTGTTGGTTCAACTCCATATCAGATTTAAGCATTTCAGTGATAGCAATGTCATCGGAGACAAGTTTCAAATCCTCTAACTTTTTCAATTCTTCAGTCAGAGCATAAATTTCAATTCTATCAGCATGCAACAGTTCTCTCTGTTTCTGTAGCTTATCCCTTTGAACCTCAAGTTCCTCAATGCAATTAGTTAGCTCAGCCCATTCCCTATTTCTCCGTTCACGATCCAAATTTATCTCAGTTCGCTCAGTTTGAAGCCTTTTCATCTCCAAGGAAACTTCTTCCAACTCTTTGGCTGCTTTCTCCTTAAGAGCATTAATACATTGGAGTTCACTGCTCTTTTCTTCTTCGAAAGCCTTTTCTCTTTCCTTCAAATAACTTTCCACCTCTTCACGCCTCTTCTCAATAAGGTTACTCAGCTCCCTCTTTTGCATCTCAATGTCCCGCAAGAAATCTGCTCGCTCCTGCTGTATCTTGCCAAACCACTCAGCATGTTCATGTGCCATCTTGTTCATGAACTGTTCCCGTTCACTGGCAAGCAACCCCAAGTCATGGGTGTACTGATTACGTAAATTTTCTTTCTCTTCTCTCAGCTTGTCACGCTCATTCTTAATAAAAGCGGAAACTATCTTCCTTTCCTTTTCTATGTGGTCTGCTTCTTTCTTCAACTCTTCTTTTTTTTCATCAAGAAGTTCCCACTCAGCTTCAAACTTTGCCTTCTCAGCTTTCAGCTTATCTGCCTCAGCCAAAAGCTCCAACTTCTGAGATCTTACAAGGTCAATCTCTTCCTTTAGTTTCACTTCCAAAATTGACAAGTCACCTGTTTCACTTTTCATGGACTCCAGTCTCTCCTTTGCATTATCAACATGTCTTTGTTTACTATCCAAATATGCCAAAGACTTCTGCAGATCTTGCTTTGTTTCTTCAATATCATCTTTCTCCTTTTGCAAAAGGGTTTTATTTAACTCAAACTCCTTCTCAGCAGCTCTCAAGCTTTGATCTTTTTCTTCAAGAGCACTTGACAGGTCCACCAGATCATTTTCCTTCTCGCTCAGTGACCTTGACATAACTTCCAGCTCATACTCCCTTTCCAGGATTTGATCCTCCCGTTGTTTAAGATCAACCTCCTTCAATTCCCAAGCCCGTCTCTTTGTTTCAATTTCATTTTCAACCAATTTGAGCTGCATTTGTAGCTCCATTTCCAAATCATATTTTCTAGTTCTCATTGCAGCTTCCTGACCAGCTACAACTTTCTGAATTTCATCCTACATTTTCCATCAAACAAAATTAAAGGAATAATAATATAAAACAAAAGCTCACGAGTTAAAATGAACAGTAAACAATTGCAAGAAAACCTACAGATTCTCTACTAGCAAGTTTCTCTTCATATTGCAGCAACTCTTGCTCTTTCTTGTTCAGCTCAGTTTCCTGTTTAGACAGTGCCTGCTTTCACACAACACAAATATGAACAAGACAAAATAAATACTTAATATTAGTTTCATCTTGACCCAACTGGGAACTTTAAAAAATGCACCTCTTCTCGTTGAGTTAGGGTGGCCTCCATCAGTTTTAGATTGGTTTTCTCATCATGGAGGGCATCATATTCCTTTTCAATTTTCACTTTTGTCTCCTCTAACTCTTTTTGAAGACGATTTAGTTCCTGAGATCTACTAAAAAGGTGATCCTCTCTCTGGTTGAGCAAGGCTTGTGACTGAAGTAACCTTTCCTGTTCTAGCTGCAAACCCTTTTGCCTTTCAGAAAGGGATTGCCTCTCAAGAATCATCTCCTTATCTTTTTCATCACAGCTATGAGAGAGAGAGAGAAAGGGATTATGTTCACATACACAATATGTTGAGCTTAAAAATAATTACAAATCTTGATCACAGATTGACATAGCCGTATCAAGCACAATCTCATAAATCGTAATGGTATAAAAAAATAAGTAATTATATTAAGCAGAAGAAGTAAGCCATGGAGCCCCAAAAATTTGATCTATGTCCTACCAATTTCTTTCTCCCAAGGCTTTTCCCAACCCCATCTATAACTACAAGATCTGTGTATAAGAAATGCAGGATTCTCCAAGGCAAGCATATCTTAACAGCAAAATGTTGAGGCACATAGCCTAATCTGTGCCCTTCATGCTCAAGATCACATAAAAGAATTAGGCAGATAGTAAGTCGTTAGAAAAATTTATTTATTAATTATAATTGTACAAAATACATACTCTGACTTGAAAGATATGATTTGCCGTCTGAGGTTATCTTCACGTGCTTCAACATCACGAAGCTTCCTCTCTGCAACACTGTTATATCGATCAGCCTCTGCTTGCAAAGATTCCACAGCACGCAACTTGGCCTCAGCCTCTGTAAATTTTTTCTGCGCTTCATCTATCAATTGATGTGCTTCAGCAAATTTACTCTCAGCTGCAACTTTTGTTTCAGCACATTCGGTACGCATTTCATGCAAGGCTTTCTCAAGCTACAAAAAGAAATAAAAAACACCACTCTAAAAGTTTGAGTAAAACAAACATTTGGGATAAAAAAAGCTATCGTACATTTTTTTTCTTTTTTTTTTTTTTTTTGGGGGGGGGGGGGGGGGGGGGGGGGGGACCAATTCAACAAGCTTACACTTGCTATGCATGCTTCTTTGACGTCTACTGTCTTCTTCAAACTTTCTTCCCGTCTCCTTGAATCAGTTAATAGAGATTTGTTCATGGCTGAATCATGTTTATGCTTTAACTCAGATGATTCAGCCAAGGCCTTAGCTTGTTCAAACTTGGTAGCCGATTCCTTACTCTCTAATATGAGAAGGCCCATGTGATGCTGGTGATCATGTATCTAAATAAAACATACAGGTCATATACAAAGGGAAATAGGGAATGCAAGAAAGTAATAATGGATTTTGATAACAATAGCATCAGGAAAGATTATACTGTATCCGATAAATATGAAATACCACATAAATCTATTATAGAGTAGTCAATTGAAAAAAATCAACAGAAGGGGGTCAAGCAATGGTTTGATTGATAACAAACTCTTATATCAGGAGGCAAAAGAGCAGCAAAACTGTTCAAACGACAAGGAATACAACGCAAAAGAGCAGGAGGCAGCAAATAAAAAAAGAAAACGAACTTCGTATCTTGTGATATATGCAAGAATGAACAGTATCAAAGTAGATTTCACATTAGAATAACAAGATACCATATGAGGCGATATTGACCTTCTGGTGCAGCATTAAAGTAAATCAATCAGAAAAACACATTGATTGATAAACCATCTCAGAAAATTATTAATGAATATTACTTAATTTATCAAACCACAAATTATGTCAAAATAAAGTCTCTCAATAATCTAAAATCCCTGAACATAACATATTACCTTACTAGTCACACAAATTGAGAAAAGAGAGAACAACGAAAAGAGGATTAGAGAGATGAAAGAAGATACGAACCTCAGCTTCAAGCTTAGCGATGTAAGCAACGAGAGCGGACTTATCTTTGTTCTTAATGGATTCCTCGTCGAAGCCCGCGTCTCTGAGTCGCTTCCAGATCTGTTCATCGGTGAGAGGGCTTCTCAAAACCCTAGAACCCGGCGTTATGGACAAGGGCCTGGAAAATCTAGGAGTCGAAATTTCCATCTCCGAACCCAAACGCGATTCTTCTGAACTCTCTGCGTTCCGCCAAATCGTTGTTCTGCTTCTTGGAAATGGTTCTACAGAGTTGGTTCTCGCCTTCTTTTTCTTTCTCTTTTGCTTTTTAATAGTGGGTTGGCCTCTTTTGACAGAATGAAAGTAGAATGTAACGCATTTCTTTACTCCTCACACTGTATAAAGCTCCTCCCTTTTCCACTCTCAGTCTTCGCGACGTGACGGACACCAAACGACATCGCCTTGACTTTTGGTAATATAGTTTTTATTCTTAAAAAACTTTCAAATTTTATATTCGCCTTTTTTCTTTGGTCTCAAGCCCACAAATAAGGGTATCAATCAACCAAAGTGAGAGATAGTGTTTTAATATTCGGTTTGGTGATTGATTTGACTGAGGTATTGAATTATTGGTTCAATTAAATTTATATTAAATCATATAATAATTATATTATAAGGTATATTTTAACTAATAATTAAAGGTAATCTAATAATAAGTGATAATACTATGCACTTCTACGAGTAGGATCTGATATGGATTTTATAATACCCTCCGAGAAACCTAAAGTACATGGCCCCTTCTAAAAATAATATTGGCGTGAGTTTATTAAAAAATTTCTTTAGAAAATTTACAACAGACCTATTTTAAAAGGTCTAACCACTAAAAATAAAATAAACGGGATAAAATAATTTCTGTTTTAAACGGGATAAAATAAAAAAAGTTATTGTAATGTATCTTTTAATTTCTGTTTTAAAAAAAGTTATTTTTTAAAACGGAAAACAAGATACATAATTAAACCTTGATATTTTTTTTTAAGAATAATTAATTTCTAATTAAATCTCAAATCAATCATATTTTCCCCCATGATGCATCTCAAATCAATTGTATATTTCTCTTGGTAGACAAGAAAAAAGAAAAGGGCATCTTTGTTTTTCCTATTTTGGTGGCCGAAGGTCATCTTTTTTGACTTCTAAGTTGTAAACATAATATAATAATAAAGTATGAGAAAAATTATTATCATGCTACAATCTATATGAGATAAATTTTTCGTCTTACACATCATTTGATAATTGTGTCACTTTTTTTCAGGTGGTGAAGTCCACAAGTTTATCTCTATAGCATAAGATAACTTATCTCATTAACATGAGATTAATAAATCCATAAAGTAACGGCTAACTGCGCAAAATATTACATGCCATTGATTTGTTCTTTAACTTCAAATTATAAGAAAATGAAATAGAGAAGAATTCAGTGGCAATCTTATTATTTATAACATTAAATGATTTGGTAGTCAATTTTACACTAGCATTTTATTTGTTTCCTTACTATTGGATGTTTCCTTGGGCTTCGGCCCCATATGTACTAAAATAAAAAAAAGAACAGAAGCTACTGGATGTATTTGGTTGGCGTCACGTTACAGGCATTCCAAGCATCGACATTCACAGTAGGAAGCTGAGGCCCATTCCAGTGAACGAGCTTGTAATATTTATAATCTCCCCTTTGCATTATGACGTTACGTAATTATTTTCACAGCTTCCAGTCGCACATTAGGACTTTCCACCTAAGCATTGTTGAATCAGATGCTTGATAAGGGGTTTATTTTTATTTTTTAGTCCTCCGTATCAAACAAGATTATCACACTTGACTAGTACAATTGAATTACACCCTTTAATTTTTTATTAAGGAGGTTGCTTTCTAAAACTGAATCATAAAATAAATGTATCTTAATAAAAATATATCTTAATAAAATTATCAAATAATATTTTGCTATATTAATTATGATTGAATCTTCGAGTTCAAAACTCGTCCAAGTTCTGAGTGAATTAACTACTAACTGAATTATTAGGTCATTAGTCGAACGGCATAAAACAACAGTTGTAATAATCAAATAAAAAATAATTATTATTATTATTATCAAAGTAATAATGTATAAAATAATAATAATAATAAAAATAATAATAATAATAGTAATAATAATGAATAAATAAATTAGTATTATTAATATTAATATGTTTGCTGTACATAAATAAATGAGTATTAGTAATAAATAAATATATATTAAATTATGTATAACTTATTTAAAATTCTTATAATAATCAGTAAATTATTTTTAGTTAAATATATTACTACACCCTCCTAATACTAATAAATAATAATGATATTATAGTTAATATTTATTAAAAATTAAATAAATATTATTAATTTAAATTAATACATAAGATAAGTATTATATATATATGGCAAGGAGGGGGCCATATGGAAACCCCCTCCAAGCCACAATGACAACTTACTAGAATCTGATGAATATAATGATGTCAATTTCGGGAGGTAGTAAAATGGTGTATGTTTAAAAAAGAAAAAGAAAAAAAGAGAGGAATGAATCAGCTTCCCATCGTAACTATATATATATATATATATATATATATATATATATATATATATATATATAGATATATATAGGTAAATCTTGTCCCTTTCATATGGTTAAAAAAGAAAGATTGAGAAGTTGTGCGGCTGTTAAAAAAAAAGAGGTAAGTTAAGAAATTTTCGCAGAGAGCAATAAGAGAGGAAGAAGACGGGGATAGAATAATTGAAAGGTAATATTAAGAGAGTAAAACTTTCTCTCTATTTTCTTCCTTCCAGTTATATTCTTTTCATTTTTTTAAAAACAAATTTGTAAGTTGTTATTCTGTCAAAATATTTTTTAATTTCTTCTCTTATTTAATATTATTTGCATTTATAGTCCTACCTTAATCTTTCTTTTAATTTTATTCTACCTCTCATGTTATTGTGATTTTCATCAAATTTATATTTTTCCTTAGCAACAAGATACAATAAATTATTTGGTCACAAATAAATATTAAGAGGATGTGTAAATTTTAACTGTATGTTACTATTGTGAACTGACCCTCAAAAGTTTGAGATCAGATAGTTAGGGTAAGGGACGCCTTATCATGGCTTGAGCTTCGCCATATCATAACTTTTCACAAGTAGGAGACCCACAAAATTGGAAATTAAATTGGCTTCAGTTAAATATTACACAATTTGTTATTTTTATTTATTATTTATGTTATTATTTCAGTTATGAAATAAACTTGAGAGATTGATATTTTTCATTATTATGGCTGGAAATGGTTATAGTTTAAACATCTCAATATTATTGAGAATTATCTCACAGTTGTTTATTTTGTGTTAACCTTTCCAGAAAATCATCATGCCTAACTTATATTTTTCTGGAGAAGGATGGACTGTGAATATTTATTTTTATGACGATCGTTGGGAATTTTACATAATAGTTGAAAACCAAGGAGCAACAACCATATTCCATGCAGACAGTGTGGAGTCCTACACCTATAGGCTAGACTAGAATGAGAAGTATGCATAATAAATATTGTAACCTGATGTAGTTAGGAATGTAATATAGGTATGAAACTGATGTAAAATATTTAGAGTGTAAAATATTTTTACTGACTTCCATCCATGTATAAACAATGAAGGATGTTAGTATTCTCCGTTTATCTTTCTTATTTATTTTCTTAATATTCTTATTTATTTATTATCATTATTAAATATATTAGTTAAAAGAAAAAAAAAAAGAGGTGGTATTCTCTTTACTGGAATAATTAGAGGTTGTTACAACAGTTATATGATTTTTATGTATTTTTTGGGCGATGATTATTATGTTTCTACTTGTTATTCTCTTTTAATTTATTTATTTTTCATGTGAAACAGATTCTTTTCCAAATCTATGTAAAAAAAACCCTATCATGCTTTCTTTCATTTTGTATGAATCTCATTTGGTAATTTGAAAATATTTTTTATAATTAGTTTTTGGAATTTAAGGTTAATTTAATTTCGAGTTTTCATCCATGACCCTAGGGCTAATATTTTCATATTGAGGTTGAAAAAGACTGAAACTTGTGCTCTATAACAATAGACTTCACAAAAATGTTGTCTTCTAAGATATTTGAACCACGGGTACAGGTGGATTTAAATGGGATATTATTTTTTATTTTTACTTTTTTCCTTAAACTAGGTAGAGGTACATTAAAATTGATTAACTAGAAAGAGAATGTCCACAAGAAAATGAGTGATTTTATAGTTTTGCAAATTTGAACACAAAATTGAGAGAAAGGAGAGACTGAGATGGAATCTGAGGACGATGGTGTGCGTGGAGCGCGTGAGCGAACGACAGAGGAGGAAGATCTGGTCCAACGAAGCGTGAAGAAGCCTAAAGGAGAAGCGAAGGTTGATGAGAACATGGATGATGAAATGCTGGAGAAGCAGGAAGTTGGAGCTAGTGAGGGCACCAATCCATCATCCCTGAGAAAGTTGTATCCATGCAGGGAGTGCCTGGTAAGAAGTTTGTCTCGTACAGAGACAAGCTAATCAGGTTGAATGGCAGGGGAAATAACTCAGAGAGCGAGGAGGAAGATTGGATAGCGATCCAAAGAAGAGAAGAAGAGGAAGATGGAGGTGAGGAGGATTTGGTCCAAGAAGTTGAGGATGATCCACTGTGTCTATCCCTTCAATTTTCTAAGAGTCAACATAAGGAAGACTGTAAACAATGGAGGAAGGCCCTAATTATCAAGTTGTTGGGGAAAAGGATTGGAGCTCGGTTCCTAATGGCAAGGTTACAGAGACTATGGAACCTGGTATTGACCTATGAGTTGATAGATCTGGATAATGGCTATCTTCTACTGAGATTTTAGAATGAAGGGGACTATTTGCATGTGCTGGAGAAGGGACCATGGATCGTTGCTGATCACTATGTAGTGGTCCAGAGATGGCATCCGTTTTTTGACCCATATGATGAGGGGTTTAAGAAACTGGCGGTTTGGATAAGGGTACCTGGGCTCTCTATTGAATTTTACACGGCTCACTACTTGTGGAAAATTGGTAACCTATTTGGAATAACTCTTAAAGTGGATAGAAATTCCCTTCGCAGAAATGAGGTAGGGGATGATGTCATTACTGAGAGAGCAAAGTTTGCTCGAATATGTGTTGAGGTGGATTTAAGAAAGAGCTTCTTGTCGAAGTTTAAAATTGGAAGTAGAGTTTTCCAAGTGGGTTATGAAGGACTGCATTTAATATGCTTTAAGTGTGGCATGTATGGGCACAGGAAAGACCAGTGTGTGGATAACCAGAACAGGAATCAGGGAAAACTGATGGAGGCAGAATCAGGGAACCAGAAGCCAATGGAAAAGAAATCTGATGGAATTTTTGGGAAAAATCATAAGGAGGAGGAAGCGTTCGGTAGCTGGATGGTTGTTCAGAGAAATAAAAGAGGAGGTAAAGTTAAAGCTATCCCTATGAAGAATGTTATTGGAGAGGAAGATGGTGCTATGGTTGATATGGTGAAACATGTGATAGGGAAAGTTGATAATAGTATGGGAGAGGCTAAGACCACTTCCCCTAATCTGGTTAAGCCTGAAATTAAGGAAGAGTCTAATCTTTTGAAGAAGTCTAATGGAGATGAGCCTAGTAGGGAAGCTGAGATTAAAGAAGGAAATAGAGCTGATAAAAGAGGTAACTCTAAAACCTCTAGTCCTTGTCCTATTCTAAAGACTAATAGGCTGGAAACTAGCAGGCAGAAAAAAGGAATTCTAAAGGAGAACAGAGGGAAAAGTGGAACTAGTGGAGTTAAAAATAGTAAAGGGGTTCCATATGGTCATAAAAAGGGTGAACTGAAAAACCTCAATCCTAATGTTGTGGTAGAAGGCCCTAACACAGGGGGAAGGCAGAAAAACTGAGTTAAAGAGTTGTCAGCTGGAGGTTGTAGTTTAGAGGAAGAGACCAGTCAAGCCAAGATTAAGGGGAAAAGAGTGGATGTGCCTACTGCTCTGAATGCTGGCTCTCTTCCCCAGGAGGAGCAGGTACGTGAGATGAACTCTAACACCCTAGGGGGTGCTAGGACTCTGAATAAACTTTAAGAGGGGTGGTGTGGTCCCCTTTTCATAAAATAAAGATATGTTTATCTGTTCTTGGAATTGTAGAGGGGTAGGGAAAAAGGAATTCCCTGCCTTAGTTAGAGATATGAAATATAGATTCAAATTTAGTAATTTCGCTTTGCTGGAAACTAAAATTAGTGGTAGTAGAGGAGACAGAATAATTAAAAAGCTTGGATTTTCCAAAAGCCTCAAAAAGGATGCAGTAGGGTTCTCTGGGGGCATCTGGTTACTTTGGGATGAGAAGAGGGTGAAGGTGGAGATTATTGATGTTCATCATCAATATATCCATACTAAGGTGACCTATTTGGAGGAGATGGAATCTGAGTTTATCACTTTTGTTTATGGTAGTCCAAGAAGATTGGAGAGACAATCTTTGTGATGGGATCTTGAGTGTATTGCCCAGGAGACTGATGGCCCGTGGATGGTTTTAGAAGACTTCAATGCAGTACTGAATGCTTCTGAAAAGATTGGGGGGAAAGAGGTTTGCTGGAATAGCCTAAAAGAGATGCAAATGTGCCTATCTAGCTATGATCTTAGTGACATTGGCTTCAAGGGACCTGATTTTACATGGAAGAGGGGCAAACTTTAGGAAAGACTAGACAGAGCTTGTTCTAATGAGGCTTGGAACCTGAGTTGGCCTAATAGCTACCTATCTCATTTGCCTTATTTTAATTCAGATCATAGACTTATCCTATTAATTCAGGATCAGGTTAATAAGCTGGAGGAAAAGGATTATACCGTTTAGATTCTTGGCTTCCTGGATGACAGTGGAAGGCTTTGAGGAAGTGGTGAAGGATAGTTGGAGCAATCAATCTGATTGGAATCATGCTAGGAATACTTTTGAAATGAAGGCTAAAGATTGGCACCATAAAGTTTATAAGCAGAATATCAAAAAGAAAAATAAGATCTATGCTAGACTTCGTGGCATTGATAACTATAAGCCTGGCTGGTATGACCATAGTATGGAGATTCTTCAGAGACGCTTATGGATGGAACTACAGGAGATTCTTGTGAGGGAGGAGTTAGCTTGGTTTCAAAGGTCCAGATGTCATTGGCTTAAGGATGGGGACAAAAACAAAAGGTTTGTCCACTACTCTACGGTTGCCAGGAGAAGATACAATAAAGTTGTTGCTCTTAGGAATGATGAAGAAGACTGGGTAGCTGACAAAGAGGACCTGATCAATATGGCTTTGAAATATTTTGAGAACCTATTTGCTGTTGGTGAGGAGGAGCTAGAAGATTATCTTGTGAAAGATTGCTTCCCTATTTTGAGCAACAAAGAGAAAGACTTTTTGTCCAGACTACCCTCTCATGAAGAAATTCGAAAGGTTATTTTCAGAATGGGTAAATTTAAAGCTCCTGGACCTGATGGTTTACAGGTTATTTTCTTCCAATCTCACTGGAACATTATGGGAAGCTCTGTCTGTAAGTTGATCTCTGATATCTTTCTGGACCCGAAGAAAGTGAAGGAGGTTAATAAAACTCTTATGTGCCTTATTCCTAAGAAAGAGAGTCCAGAGAACATGAAAGATTTCAGGCCTATAAGCCTTTGTAATGTAGTTTACAAGGCTGTTACAAAAATCATAACTGAGAAGCTAAAGTAATTTATGCCTCGGTTGGTGGCTCCTAATCAGTGTAGTTTTATAAAAGGGAGACAAAGTGTTGACAACATCATCATAGCCCAGGAAGTAGTCCATTCCATGAGAAAGAAGAAAGAAAATAAGGGGTGGATGATGTTGAAAGTGGATTTAGAGAAGGCTTAGCTGGAATTTTATCAAGGAGACTTTGGAGGAAATGGGTATTAATAACAGCCTCACCAACCTCATTTGTAACTGCATATCAACCAACAAAATGAATCTACTATGGAATGGGGGATTAACCAGGGACTTTGAGCCTAAGAGAGGTATTAGACAAGGAGACCCATTATCTCCTTACCTCTTTGTGTTGTGTGTTGAGAGGCTAGCCCATTTAATTCAACTAGCTATGGATTCTAAGGCATGGAAGCCTATCATCCTGAATAAAAGAGCTCCTCCTATATCCCATTTGTTTTTTTGCAGATGACATCATCTTATGTGCAGAGGCAACTGTGGAACAAGCTTTTATTATCAATCAAGTGCTGAAGATGTTCTCTGCTGCATCAGGGCAGAAAATCAGTGGAGACAAGTCGAGAGTTATGTTCTCCAGTAATGTGGGTGTAACTATAGCCAAGGAGATTGGTGATAAACTAGGAGTGGGGATTACTAGTGATTTGGGCAAATACCTTGGTGTCAAGCTGAGTCATAAAAGAACCTCTAGAAATTCTCTCAATCATGTAATGGAAAGGGTGCGCAGTAGACTTTCTTCTTGGAACCAGTCTGCTCTCTCTTTGGCTGGAAGAATCACTTTGGCTAAATTTGTCTTGGAAACTCTCCTAGCGTATACAATGCAAACCACTATTGTCCCTGTGAATGTCTGCAAAGAGGTGGAGAAGCTGACTAGGAATTTTATTTGGGGCTCAAACTCAGGTAAAAGGAAGATTCACCTGGTTAACTGGAACAATGTTTGTAGAACCAAAAAGGAAGGAGGGCTTGGATTAAGAGACCAAAGAATAGTGAACAAAGCATTTTCCATGAAAATTGGATATGGAATGTTGACTATTAAAGAAGCTTTATGGGCCAAAATCCTTCGCAGCAAATATAAGGTGAGCAATGATCTTATGCCTGTTTTGAATGAAGATAGAAATAGTTCCAGCACTTGGAAAGGAATTTGCAAAAACTGGAGCTGTGTACAGAATGGCTCAAGAATTTGTATTAGCAATGGGTGTAAAACAAAATTTTGGTGGGATAGATGGGTCCTTGGTGTGGGAAGGCTGATTGATTGGGTGAAAAAACCAATCCCAGATGGAGATAAAGAGTGGATGGTGGCTGACTGTTTGAATCAAGAGGGGAGCTGGCAATGGTCTAAATTTGACCAATTTCTTGATGATAAGGTCATCAGAATCATTGAAAATGTTCATCCTCCCTCTGATGCTAATGGTCCTGACTTGGTAATGTGGAACCAATCTGCAACAGGTATGTTCACAGTGAAATCAGCCTATGAATTTTAAATTCTTCTCTAATTAGAAATGATGGTAATAAATGGTATCTAGCCTGGGATTGGGAAGGTCCTCAAAGAATTAAAGCTTTTCTCTGGTTATTGATTGGTGAGAAATTACTCACAAATGACAGAAGAAATAGAATGAGTTTATGTGATGATGCCAGATGTAGTAGATGCAATTCCCCTGTTGAGGATTGCAACCATATATTCAAGGAATGTGATTGGACTCAACAAATATGGAGGATATGCTGCAAAGGTATGAATGTTAACTTTTCTAGCACTGGTGGGTTCAAAGAGTGGACTGAAGAGAATTAAACAGAAAGAAATCCAATATGGATTGGAGGAGATTCTTTGGTGTTATGTGTTGGTTAATTTGGTAGGAAAGAAACAGTTTCATTTTCAATGATTCTAGAAAACATCCCATGTAAATGGTTTATCAAGCTTCTTTGTTCAGGATGTAGTGGTGTCTGATAACTTGCTACTGAAAGCTGGTCTCCTTCCTGAAAGGATAAAGGAAGTGAATATTCATTGGAAACATCCCCCTCCTAATTGGATTAAAATCAATTTGGATGGAGCATGCCTCAACAAGGGAGCATTAATTAGTTGTGGGGGTGTAATTAGGAACTATGCTGAAGAATGGATTACTGGCTTCTCAAAAAGGATTGGTTGTGGTAATGTGTTGTTGGCTGAAGTTTGAGGAATGGTTATTGGATTGGAATGGGCTTGGGAAATGGGCTACCAGCAGGTGGTTCTGGAAATAGATTCTTTGGAATCCTTGAAGATTGTTCAGGAAGAATGCATCAAGTTTCATCCTTGTCATATGCTGATAACCAGAATCGAGAAGACTCTTGAGAGGAACTGGAAGGTTGAATTGGCCCACATTAACAAAGTTGCTAATTGGTTGGCTGGTCAAGCTCCTGAATCCAATAGGAACATAGTTTGGTATGAAGATCCTCCTGATGGATGTAGAGATTTTCTTTTAAAAGATTGTATGGGTGTAGGAGAACTCAGACCTTTTAGTAGTTAGTGTTTTGTCTTGTTTTCTTTCATACTTACACAAAAAAAGAAAAAAAGAAAAGAAAGAGAATGTCCACACATACTAAAAGAGAGAGGCACGGGTATAATTTTATATTTTGAAAACAAAGGATAAATTGTATAGATGATATAATTTTCAAATTATATATATTTACTGACTTCAATAGTAGTCGATGATAATATTTGTAGGTAAAATAAAAACATTGCATTAAGACTCACAAACGTGTATGTGTGTGTGTTGTCGTGAACTATTACAATACCAAACCAGATAAAAAAAGGTTCAGCTCAAACCAAACAAGCATGTTTTGTTGATCTATATACAGAACAGCGGTGAAGAAAGTAGCGAGAACAGTAATTAAAAAAAAAAAAAAACTATATTACATATCGAATATAGCTTTATTTTTCTGATAGTAGCCACTGATCCAACCTTCTATTAGCCTGATCTCAGTCTTCCTTTGCTCTACCAACCAATCAGGATCATTTTGAGTTGAAGCACGTAAATCTATGTGGTGCGCACCTGATGAACCATTAACAAAAAGAATTAACTTTTGTCAATTAATGTTAGCAACAGGCTCAAGAATTCTTTGGATCTCACTGGCATTCCGCAGTTAAAAGTTTTATAAATAAGTTGCAAGGAATTATAATCAATAAATCAAAATGGATGTAGCTTATAGCAATGCCACGTATATGAAAATAATGTCAGGCGATTATGATAAAAAATAATAACAATTTCAGAAGAGAAAATAGACTCATCGAAAGCAGAAAATTAATGGGCGAATAGTTGCTTTAACATAGGATCCATCGAGCAGACCACTAACTAATTCAAAATAATCAAATGCTTTACCTTCTCCAGTGACAAGAGAAACAACACTATCAGATATATTCAGCAAAACACTGCAACAGAAACAATTTGCATATGAGAAACTGAATCAACTGTCAAAGACAATTACTTCACGAAAAATATAAAACATAATAGCCAAGACATTTGCGGAATAAATAATATATCACCTGCCACCACTCCAAGGATCCAGTAGGCCATTTGAGAAAATTATATTGCTTCCAAATTTCTTCAAGGTGGCTTGGATATTCTTCAAAACAAGATGCCCAGACACAAAGAAATAACGGATAAAAACAGCATAATATCAGAATACAGCTTTGGATTGAGCATACTTCAAACAATCTATCCAAATGGCATCACCAAGGGAGGGGACCATTGTATTTCAGAGCATTAACTATATTTTTTTCATTTTATATTCATGAAGATAAATACGTGCATAACTAGTAAGTGACTTATGACGAAATTGATGATGGCAAATCCACATATGCCGCACTGTCAAGCTAGAGTAGCATGAAGTGAGGTACAGTCATCTCACTTGTAAAATAACAAGAGATGAGAGGAACATTGAAATAAATCTGTATATTGAACTGATTCAAGAGAGTACAATATATAAAGAAATACTAATGGGCTTAGCCTATATCTAACCTAAATCTTAATGAAATAAGGAAATAGATCTTTATAAATAATAAAGATATTCTTTCCAACAATAATAAAGATATCCTAAAGATATTCTTTCTAACACTCTCCCTCAAGCTGGAGCGTATAGATTATAAGCAACAAGCTTGAACAAGAAAGACTAAGAAACATAACATCAAAATAAACGAGTGGGGGTTGTAACAACTCTACAACTCACCCCGAAGAAAAATAACAAATATTATAAACTAAAATAAAATATTATCTATATCTCAAATACTCTCCCTCAAGATGGAGGGACACTTCATCTTGGGAAGAAAGAAAACTAAAAGGATGCTTCACGGAATGTAAGTCGAAGAAATCGACAGTAAATCAACTGGAATGACCATCAGTTTGAAGAGCTGGTAAAGACATCAGCCTAAAGGGTTGGGAAAGACATTGTTGCAACTGGAATACAAGCCGACGGAGCCAAGTGTAACTGGAATAATCCGTGGACCAGGTAACAACAGAGATAATGGAAAAAAGACACTGTCGCAACTGGGATACAAGCCGACGGAGCCAGTGTAACTGGAATAATCCGCGGACCAGGCAACAACGGAGATAAATGCTCCCCCTAAATGAGAGGCCAAAGTAAAGCCAAACAATGGCAAAAATAATACAAGCCAAATCAGACCAAAGAAGAAGAAAACATAGCCGGAAGAAATAAGATTCGGCTGGAGAAGAAAAGATGATGCGGCCGGAGGAAAGAGACGCGGAGGGCAACAACGACGCCGGTGATGATGGAAACGGACAGAGGGCTGGACGGTGGCTAGGTCGTCGACGGTGACGGAGCACAACACTTGCAACGGCGAAGGCAGGAACGAGAAGAAGAAACTAAGAGAAGCGGAGAGAAGAAGAGAAAGGGAAAAGTTGGGAAAGTCAATCCCTTACGGAGGGTGATATCTCTCTACTATCGTATTAAAGTTATGAAAAAGAATAAGGAAAGGTGGACAACGATTCCTCTCGTTAGGCTCTGATACCATATAAAATAACAAGAGACGAGAGGAACATTGAAATAAATCTGTATATTGAATTGATTCAAGAGAGTACAATATATAAAGAAATACTAATGGGCTTAGCCGATATCTAACCTAAATCTTAATGAAATAAGGAAATAGATCTTTATAAATAATAAAGATATTCTTTCCAACAATAATAAAGATATTCTTTCTAACATCACTAATCACACTACAGGTTAACACAACAGCATGTACCTTAATCCAATAATTTGCATCACAGTATATTTCTATATAGATAGGAAACACAATATTATAGAGTGACAATGCTGCAGAAATTGCGTATTACAGCATATTACTTCGAGAAGCTGAAAATTGAGTTATTTTTCTATATTTTTACATACTTTACTAGGTCACCCAAAACCACACAGTCCATGGCATTATACTTTTCCTCTTTTTGTCACTCAAATATTCCTTCAAGTCATATTGATTATCCATTCGCCAAATCCTTTCACACCTAGAAAAAGAAATAGCAATTTTTGCTTCTACCTAATATAAGCTCATTAACATGCATAAATATGTTTCACACATCTACTAGAAGAATACATTGATTCAGTTTATCTACTAGAAGAATACATTGATTCAGTTTATCAAATATGTAAAATTGACCAAACTAACCACATTAGCAAGAGAGAGAGAGAGATCATCATGCACCAAACCAGAATATCAAATAATGATTTAATTTTTGTGGGTCTTGAAAATAATGGAAATGGAAGTCAGATTTAAATGTAATTATTTCCTTACATGCCCGCCGAATTCTGTAGTAATCCATTTTGGCCTTGGCTTCACTCCAAAACTGTTGAAGCATTCCTCTTGGAAAGAAGAGTAATTATACTCATATGGTGGAAACATGCTGGACTCCTGGCTGCTGGACATTGGCATAACCATTTCAGTGCAAGCCTACATCATGGATAAGAAAAGATGGAACCAGCCAAGATTAATATGGGAACATATTTGTCAAGGCATTTCGTGCTATTGAGCCTCAATACTTATCCAATATCCAGCATCTTAGGAAAATAAAAAGGAAAAAACAACATTTAACTATAGTAAACCTGCCAGTTCCAACCACTCAAGCCATGAGGATCATCATCCAGTTCAAAACATTTAACTTCTCCAGTATAATTGTAGTAGACATTCACTCCTTCATATATGCGCTCCAGAATACTAGTCCCAGCGGGAGCCCCATCAATCCTTCTGCAAACCTATAAAAGAATATATATAATCATATCAATTAGTAAAGACAGTTTCCCGGTAGCATCACAAAAATCAGTTGAGGAAACTTTGAAGATAGGATAGGCAACAGAAGACTGAATTAGGAAAACAAGACCACCTTATGTACAAGTTTGTGCTAATAATAAGATATCCCATCTTATGTTATAAAATCAAACTAACCTCCTTGATGGGGTATCCAGGCAAAGTCATCAGAAATTCAGAAGGATACGGGTAGTTCACCATTGCCAAATAACTATATGCAGACTCCAACCAGTCCCATAGATCTACACTCCTCTCTAATTGCCTTCAATTAGTTTAACTAAATAAGCAGTGTAATGAAATATAGATAACACTGTTCACAATCATGTACTGCAGAAATACACATATTTCTTGGGGAAAAATGCCTTACTGACACAAGTTGAAAGTTTTGGTCAGATGCACAAGGCCATCATTTGTTTGACCCTTAGACGCTATGTCATCCCATGACTGTTTTATATAGTTAAAGCAAGAGGAACTTTCACGCTATTGATCCAAACAAGCGAGTAAAATCATTAGTATAGTAATTATAGCAAGGATAAATATCAGAACATTGAGCCAGTACTGTCAGATTGACTGACTAACTTACCCTGAAATCATTGGAAACAATGTCATAGAAAGTTTCTGGTGGCACAATGTTTTCAAATTGAAGAATTGGAGCTGAAGAAGCAAGTGCCCCAACAGCAATATGAGGATACTTGAGTCTCATCCATGCTGCTAACACTGTTTTAGATGATGTTCAGAGATGAACCAACAAACCGAAGTCATTTTATCGAAAGAAACAAACCCACTTCAGGATAACAAACAAACGAAGATTCCGAACAAATTAAAGACAGAACACCTTATGACATGCCACGTTACTTTATGTTATTTCCAAGGCACCATTACCTAACGAGCCCTCAAACATTTTATAGTTTTCATTAACATAGAAACTAACAACAATCTATTAGATATATATAAAACCATTAATGTAGCCTCATCCAATAATTTAAGCTTTTGGGTTGAATTGGTTCTTTACATGGTATCAAAGCCTCGGTGTCGTGGGTTCGATCCAGTGAGCACTAGTGTCAGAAGCGTGTTAGAGAATAGTATAAACCATTAAAAAGTCTTCATCCACCAGCTTAAGCTTTTGAGGGGAATTGGTTTTTTATATGATATCAAAGCTGCCCCCATTTTATTTGTGGAATTTTTTAGCCCAGGTGAGCTGAGCCTGATATATCATCCACCTTTCTTTCAAGCTCAATGTGCTCTCTTACGAGAGAGGGCATACTAATTTATATAAAACCATTAATATAGTCTCACCCAACAGCTTAAGCTGAATTGGTTCTTTTACATAATCAAAGATTGACAATTCATTAAGGTACCGCATTGACTCTCCTCCTTGTGAATAAATACTCAGGTCCTCCTCATGAAGTTTTCACAGAAACGGTCATAGAAACCACTATAGCATGTGTGGACTAAATTATAGAAACATAATTAAAAAAAATCCTAAATAAAATTTTGATTATAATATAATCTCAATACAAATATTAAAAGAGAGAAGCAAAAGTGTCTTACTTCCACCGTATGATCCTCCAAACAAGACAACTGGGCAATCGTTGGCAGAAAAATTTTGCTTGAGATCGGTGAGCAGAACAGCAAAATCAGCAAGCGCTTGCTCAGCCGTAAGATACGATAATGTAGTAGCATTCTTATACGCCTCCTCTCTACTTCCATAAGGCATAGATTCGCCATAGTATCGATGCTGCCACAGACACACACATACACACCCCACACTTAGAATAGAATTTACTCAAATTCAGAAATTTTCTCAGAACGTAACAAACATAGGTATGTTGTATTGTAGAGTAGACACTCACTTCAGGAAAAACGACCATGGCCCCGAATTGAGGCGCGATTTCCCATACGAAGCCGGTGTTTTGAGCGAACCATATGATATCTCCTTCATTGCCGCAGTAGAAGAAAATGGGACCCACGCGCTGAGGACCCAGCCAGTGTTCGGTGTTCAGAAGGTACCTCTGCCGGAACGTGGGAAGCTCCGAAAAGCTGAAGTGGTCGAGGCGCTGTTCGAAGTATCTGGTTTCGTAGTGGAATTGCAATGGCTGCACCTGCGAGTGCCTGGTCGAAGCTGCTAATTTTCCTAGGAATCGCGGTGCATGCTTCAACGCTAAGCGTTGCGGTGAATAAGAAACGATAATGATGGCAACAGTTAAGACAAGCGTGATCAACCTGAACCTGTGTTCTGCCATTCTTGCCAAATGCCTAAGCTCAGTGAGAGTGAGTCCGAGCCTCTATCAGATTCCAAAATGCTTTGTCGGGTTTGGAGGTTCGGGTCAACAACGAACCAACTTTGGACTTCGGTTTCCGTTTGGGCCTGTGTGTTCAATTTGAGTCCAACTTTCTTAAAATAAAATATATCTAATACAATGTTTATGACTAAAAACAGAAAAATACAGGTAAATATTAAAATTGTTAGTTTGAAGTATTTTATTTTAATCATGTACCAACTTGTGTGGGTTGAGAGAAAAAAAAAATTAATGTGGAACTCTTTTATACATTGAGGATTCAGTTTGTACGTAACAAACATGTAATTTACAAAAAAAAAAACAAAAAAAAACAAACATGTAAAAATATAGACAATAATTATTGTCATGGGCATAAAGTCCAACTAAATAAATTGGGCCTAATCCACCTTCATGTAGGAAATCCACTATAAATAGGGAATTTAACCCCGCAGATATTATCTTAGGAACCCTAATTCATTTTTATTGTCACTATTCACATACCCCTTTGGCTCATTACTGTTTATTCTTGCACGATAATTTATCATCAGAGGTGTAATTGGACTGGGTTGGTCCGAGTTTTTTCCGAAAAACCCAAGCATATGCCGAAAAATTTTAATTTGACCTAGTCCTGTAGCATAGTACGAGTCTAAATATTAGCCTTGCCTGACCTGACTGATTAGCTTGTTAATTTTTAGCTTTCAAACATAACCATGAATCAACTTCACAAAATATTCAATTTTTGTTATTAAAACAAAAATCACAATTTCAACGTCTAAACAAAACCATGAATCACAACAACAACTTATCATAATCTGCATTTAAATCACTTCAAGAAGCAAGATGTCCAAAATAAATAACATATATTTCATCATATCCAACAAATCAATCCATACTATGTAAATTAAAATAACTATATGAATCCAACTAACACATCATGATACTTCATCATCTTCTCCCCCTTGCAAATGCAATTCAATGTTACATAAGTTGGCAAACAATTTTTTGTAAATGTAGAAAACATAACAAGATTAAAGAATAGAAAAAAATAAGATTAAGAAATAAAAAAAACCTTTTAATATATTTATATATACAATCTAACATGCTAAGATGTTGGTTCCTCATACATAAGAAATAAATTCAGATTTCTATTAAAATTTAATTGAAAATAATTAAATATAAAATACTTTCAATTGATTAAATTTATATACCTTTTGTTTTTTCTTCAAGCCATACTTATTACGTAGTCAATCTCCACCATATATTAAAGTTTGAATGGTATCTTCAGCCAAGCTAGAACGATAAGCATCAATAACTCTTTCTCCAGCACTAAATGTTGATTCTGATGCTACTGAAGAGATTGGTACAGCGAGTATGTCTCTTGTCATTAGTGATAAAAATTTATACTTTAAGCTATTACTCCTCCACCATTCCAAAGCATCAAATGAAAGATAAGATTTTTCATGACATTCATAAACACCTTCTTCAAGATATGACTTCAACTTTGACTTTGCAGCAGCAATAGATTTCATTTCACACACGATGCTTATGATTTGGTCAAACCCAGAGGCAGAGCCACATGGAACTTGAGTAAAAGGAGTAGAAGAGGATACGTTTATCCTTTATCCCACTTGACTATCAGAGGATGACTCTTGCAAACTTAAAGCTGAATATTCATTATACAGAGTTTTTAAAGCTTCACTCATCTTATCCATGTTAATTTGTGCCTCATATTCTCATTTGTATATGAGTGGAAAGCAAATTTTCACCACATGGAATTTACATTGTGGGTCTAAAACACTAACAATGGCCATCAACATATTGCATTCCCCCAATATTTATCAAATTTATCTTTCATAAACTTTGTCATTTGTTTCATAAAATAATAATTGTCTTTAGTTGTAGCATCGATCATTTATTCCACCCTAAACACTTTAGAAAAGTATAAATTTGCTATAGGATAATTAGTACTAGACATAACATTAGTAGCATGAGTGAAAACTTCTAAAAGATGACATACCTTTTCAACCTTTTTGCAATCCTCAATAGATGGCAAATAATTATAATATGGCTCATACTCCTTACATTATGGAAAAACATCTTTAAATTTAGAAGCAACAGACAACATTTCATATGTTGAATTCCATCTAGTGGGATAATTAATAACTAGTTTCCTTTCTTTTACACCCATCTTCTTAACAATATCATTGAAATTCTTCAATCTTGACATATTTGGTACCTTCACGAACATTTTCAACGATACCTTTGATATGACTAAGACCATGTTGAACTAGCAAATTCAATATATGAGCATAACATCTTGGAGGCTGATGCAACTAATATGAATAACTGTTCAGCAAGGACTAAATTAGTGTTTCTTGCTAATGTGCTTTTAAAATTTCTTATTCAAATATCATTGTAGGCTGCATTATCCACAGTAATGAAAATGTCTTATTTTCAATTCCCCATAATTGCAAACATTTAAAAGTTGCATCAGCGACATTAAATCTACGCCTTGGAGGTGGGACCTTAACAAAACTCAGCACTCGTTTTTGCAATTTTCATTGTGAATCAATAAAATGGCTTGCGATGACCATATGTTCAGTGAAATGGTGACTAAACTTCCATATATCAATGGTTATACTAATATTGTTCACACCCATCAATAAAGCCATTAGATTTTTTCTTCTTCTTCATATAACGCAATACAATCTTTTTTTTACAGTAATACACGAAACTTTCTCAAAATCAACATTCACAAACTTAAAGGCCCACATCCAAACAATGTCCTCCACAATACTGAAAGGATTCTCGTGAACCATAATTGCAGTAGCAATAATTTCTCTCTTCTTTTCATTGGTATACCTCCCTCCGGATGCAAGAAAATGATTCAAATTAGAACCTGTAGGTTGGAATGATAAAGTGGTACGCTCCTTCCCTGATTGGTCCAATTTCTTATTCAAGTAATTTTGTGAATGCCATCTTAGATGACTGGTGCTACCTCTAACTCCCCAAGTTGAAAATTTTTGTTTGTAGTAGTAACAAACTACTTTACACCCAACATTAGGGATGTCCACTTCATGGAAATCATTTCAAAACTGTAGAAGTTTTTCACCTCTTTTTTAACAAGCTTGGATCTTCAGATTCTTCATCTTATGGGACTAGTTCATTTTCAACATCATTGCTTCCATCTTGATTAGAGGCCATCTGTTTGAGAATAAAAATGCATTTGATGTTATATAAAAGAAAAGTTATCAACTTCAACATGCGAGTGCATATAAATAAAAAAAGAAGCAAATATAGAGAAAGAGAAAAAAAAGATTAAGAAATATATTGGGTTAGATACAAAGTACTTTTGCCGACACTGTGACGAAAGGACTGATCTAATTTCTCATGTTAATAATATTCTACAAACATGCAAAACTCTTGATTTGGATGATGAAATTCAGCAAAAGACTTTAAGTCTTGGTGCTTGTCGCTTGCGTGATTCACAGAAACCTATTTTTTATGCATAACATCTAATCTATCTATTTCATCTTAATTATTCACTTGCGTTTTGCGAATCAGACTCCATGGTCACTCCATCGATAAATAAAAAATAACTTATTCTTAGAACACCATCAATAATTAGAAAAATAAATAAAAAGCAACAAAATACATAACTCACTTTATCAATAAAGATGCAGACCGCGCCAAATAATGCTTTAATACTTCAGATACAAATACAAAGATGCTGAGTGACGAAGAAGGTGATGTTGTTGCTGAGTGCTATGATTCAAACACGAGATGTCTCTGCCTGTTATTGCTGTGACTGTGACTCATAGAGTGACGATGACCAGTGTTTTTTTAATTTATTAAGACTTGGGTCACTCTCACTTGGGTTGGGTTGGGCTTTGGGTTGGTAGGGTAAAAAGATGGGGTATTAAAAGAATAATAAGGCTAGACTGGTAAGCAAGCTTTTAAAAGTTAATCAAGATTATGACCCAATTGTTAATCAAACTTTTAAATCAGCCCAAAACTGAACTGGTAAGCAAAAAGGCCGGGCAAAGCCAGGCCAGAAATGGTGCAGGCCCGTGATAGGCTTCTTGGCCCAGTTTCACCCTATTCGTCACCGCCCACGGTTGTCTCCATAGAAATCGCTAGCCTACAGATCCTGCAACAACCTAAGGATCAAACATTGACGCTATATTTAGAATTCAATAAACTTCAACTCCCATCAAACCATGCTGAACACTTATAGCACACTGCAAAACCATCAATAATATTAGCGTCTGTATCAGCAACATCCTTCGTAGTAGCAATTGCAACGGGAAATGACATCGTCTCTGTCTCTATTTCATTTGCTTATCAAAGTCCACGTGAAACCAACCAAGGAGAAGACCTCATACGAGTCACAATAGCCTGGATCTTGCAATGCCTTGACAACATGGGGAGGACAATGGGGGAGTGACAGAGAGAAAAAGACCATCCACTCTTGCCCAGTGATAGGGGAGGCAACACCCAGGGCAGAATGTCGACTGATCGTCAAACTGGCATCCACTAATCCGCCAACACTTAGGGTTGACCTCCTTCATAGCTGCACATCTCCAGCACTTCCCAAGGCTGAGGTGGCCACAACCAACCAAATGACAAAGAGGAAAAGGATGACCCTTTTACAAATCTGGTCATGAATATGGTCCTACCCCCCGGATGGCAGCAACCCTAGCTCACCAAGTATGACAGCACACAGGAATCCCAAGAAAACTTGGACAATTTCAAAATAGATATGTTCTTGGTCGGGGCCATGGAGTCTTTATCGCTAGAGTATTCGCCTCCACTTTCAAAAAACCTGCCTAGTACTGGTTAAATTCCCTGCCCCTGGCTTCATCAATTCAATAAGAAACCTCTCTCAAAGGTTCTTCGCAGCCAGACGAGTTCAACCCAAATCATCCTACACGTTCTCCTCCATCAGGCGATTCTAGGGTCATTCATTG